AACCTAAGCGTGCCTGTTTGTTCCTTCGAGAGCCCTATATCCCTCTCTCATCCAATTTTAAGACATGATCAGAGTAGGAGCTTGCTGGTTTTAAAATGCTTACATTTCCAACTCTGCCTAGCAACCCTTTCAGAAATTGCCATGACCCAAATTTGGGTCGCAACCCTTGGGTCGAGAATCACTGGTCTAGAGTTTACAGACAATAGTGTGATGGACAAAAAAACATTCAGTCAGCAGCTGTTCTTGACACCTTCTAAGGAGATTTAGCGCGTATAAATCTTCCACCGTGTGTGCATCTTGCAGTTTGGCATCTTACAACCTTGTGTTTCTCATCTGTGTATTTGGGTTTGGTGCTCGTTGGGTGCCTGTTGTGGTCCTTCTATTTACAATTGCACGCGGGGCATGCTAGGACCAGTGCAACACTAGTATAAAAAAGGAATCTGGTCGAGGAATCTGTTTGGCAACCAAATTTTGTACCCAAACCAATGCATTTTTTTCACTAAATATTTGGTCATGAACCAAATTGTTCGCAGACCACAGCGTTGGTGAGTCGCAGTCACCACTGTATATTATCTTAAATAAACAAAGATTGGTTCTGAATGCATATGTGTTTCAAAATAAATATGAGGGAAAGATACATTTGATGACTTGTGACTCGATTTGGCAAAACTGATGGAAAGACTTGGACTTTGACTTGGACCCCTCGACTTGAGATTATAGTTCTCCGTAAATTTTAAAATGTTAGTTTTAAAATGTTAATTTTATAATTTAAATGTATATTCTCTGCTATCTGCATTTTTAATTGACTGAATGCAAGGTCTCCTGAGATAGTTAGTTGGAAAGATGCATCACTCTATACATATACATGGATGTAAAAACTGTATGAGGATAACCATGAGTGGACACTCTCTGTTCAGCCTACCTCAGGCAAAAGTGCATAGCAAATATGCCTGAACATGCCTGGGCCTATGACCTTCTATTTTGAGTCACTTAGAGTAACACAGCCTAGATAACAACTGAAGATTTCAATAAAACTACTGGTGTTCTGTGCATTGTGCCGATTGATACTAATCATTGTATTTTTTTTTGCCGACCCCAACCCCGCCCCCCACCCAACCATTGCATGGAAACAGGAAGGAACATCATTTCTGTTAAATGTCATCATACTTCCTGCAGTGCAGCAATAGAGACCCCTCGCCAGTTTCTCTTTCTGGTATGAGTATATATTTTACGCAAGAAATTTCACAGACCCTCCGCCAGGTATAAGAATAAACACAGTGTCTGCTGTGAACACACAGGGGAATAAATTTGGGTGTTCAGGTTTATAAGAAAAAAGTAAGCTCAATGCCATTCTATCCCGCTATCATTTATCAGTTTAATTATTCCTTCACTCACTCTGAGGGTCTCTCCTCATTCATTAAGACCCCGTGGGCCAGCTATCATCACCCGATATTCCTGACTAGGTCAAGCTCACTGAGAAAACGCTGCAGGTTCGTGATGGCTTCGCTTGATGTTGCGGCAAAGTTGCTGAGCACTTTGCTGAGCATTCAGTTACATTCCTGTTGGGGGAGGAGGGGTTTGTCTTATGCTGGCACAGAGGATCCCAGTAAAGGCAAGTGGGTACATATGGCCAAGAACTGATGCTGTAATAGTTCTGGGGAAACATGCTCAGAGGGAAAAGAGGGAAATGAGAGAAGCAGGAGGCATAGCAAACACCTAAAGCAGCAGGAGAATATGAGCTCCTCCGGGAGTTACTGGTTATTTCAGCACGATGCTGCATTATCAGGATGCACGCCAGTGTGACTCAGCCCCTGTCTACCCATTTTAGCCAGAAGAAAAACCAAACATATTCACCTAAGAACACCAACACCGGATTAAATAAATACATGAAATAAATAAATATGATGTTTGGCTTTGAGTTTCTGTTTGCTCCACTCAGGAAAAGTTTGTATGCTCCTTGCTTGTGACATTTCCAAAGTCTGCGTGAAATCAACGTTATTTACGCTGCATCGTTTACAGTTGGTATGAGACTTCACTCAGAAGGACAGGATCCCTCTCCAGATCCGCAGGCCCAGCCTGCTAATCCTCCCACAAACCGAGTGCAGAAGATTCTTCTATTCTTCAAGGAAATGAGTTTGCAGATTTACATAATAACCACTGTATTCCCATATCCCTGATCCTCTCTCCCGCTTTTAACCCCGAGGCAAAGGAGATGCCAAGATGGTTGCCTCACGTGGGATGAGTCTCCTCGAGATGATTCAATGTGCTCTGAAAGTTTGAGATAATGAGAGTGCCTCAGCCACTAATGCCTTCACTTCTAAGAATATCAAGCGGAGAAAAGAGCCATTGTGTCTTTGAATGACTCCGTGGCAACAAGGGGATTGTGTAGGAAAATCAAAAATACAGGGGGGTCACGTCGCCTTAAAAATGTCGAACGAGCACTAATGCGTCCTTAATGCATCTTGAACAGCACCCCCTATGACCGCAGCCTTCCAGCTGCAAGTTTGAAGCACGTTTCCGCTTCTCCCAATGTTGTCATGGTGAACAATGGGGCCTGATTAAGTTCAGAATCATCACAGTTTTTGGCAGGCCTAATGGTGAGTCGGCAAAAAGAGGAGTGACTCCCAGATACTGGAAATTTCACAGAAGGAGAAGACGGGAAAAGCGGGAGGAAGGAGCAGGGACTCCTGCTTGGGGAGATCTGAGGAGATCCAATTCTGTCCAGGGGCAGCTGTGGTTTTTCTTGGGCCCCACAGCAGCAATGTACACAAAGTGCACACAATCAAACATACAGTGCAAAACAAGACAAAGGCAACACACACAGTGCATGTGAATTTTAATGTGTCAGGGGAATCTGGATGGGCTGTTACAAAGTAAAATAAACACAGGCACCACCTTTACATGATAAATACCAACACGAACCATGGTGCATTCTGCCTCACTGAATCTGAAATCATGTTCTATAAAAATTCCACATCTGTTTTTCCCTCATCTGTCTCTGAGGACACGGTGGACATCTGTCACGGAGGACATGGCAGGCATCTATCACAGTGGATGTGGCATCTTTATACCAGGCAAGCTGAAGGAGCGCCCTGCATAGATGCATACTGCAGGTGTTGCTCTGCATAAGCACGTACTGCATAGGGCGCTCTGCATACAGACATATTACAGGGAGAGCTCTGCATAGATGCACACTGCAGGGGGCACTCTGCACAAGTACACACTACAGGGAGAGCTCTACATAGTTACACACTACAGGCATTGGAACACACTGCAGGGGGTGCTCTCCATAGATACACATTGCAGGGGGTGCTCTACAAAGGTACAGACCACAGGCACACCTTTCTAAATAGCCCTCACATAAATCCAAGGCAGCTCTTTCAGAATTAATAAAAATTTTAAATTTACATACAGACACAGACTGACTGCTCCTCTGACATCTATCATAATATTTTGTCAGGAAAGTGAGAAATCTTCAGACTTTTAAGTTGGTGTTATTAAGTAATTTTTTATTTTATTTTTTATTTTTTTGCATATTATCTCTCTGGAATTATCCAAAGACAAGACCATAAACCTCAGTGAAGTTATTAAAATCTGAGCTTTTCTCCAAATTTCCGCAATCACTTCACGATTGAAGCTTTTCACTCAAAATTAGAATAGGATGAGCTTTTCTTTTTTATCACTCTACATCATACAGAATTCTATTTTTTAGATATAAAACAATATTTAATTGACAAGTGGCTCACGGTAAACAGATACAGAGCATGTCTGGAAGGTCTCTAACAATGCATGGTCCTTATGGAAGTGAGACTGTATTTTAGGATTTTTCTTTTTTAACTCCCCTCAAG